CAAGATATTACCAATATCTTGCCAAGATTATTCAATCTTGCCATACTTGCCAAAATCTTGCCAAGATTGTCTGAAATTCTTGTCAAGATCTTGCCAAAATCTTTCATGATTTTTCATCATACATAATTCTTGCTGAGTTGTATTTTTCGACCTTCATAAGTATAGGTATAATGAACCTTGATCAAACCAATCGCATATATCACAACATTGCCAATACTCTATCATGATCTTGCCATGATCTTGGAAGATCTTGTCAAGATCCCACCATGATCTTGCCAAGATCCCACCATGGTCCTTGCCAAGACCTTATCACAATCTTGCCAAGATTCTATCATAATCTTGCCATGATCTTGCACAATCTTGGCAAGATTCCACCATGATCTTACCAAGATCATATCAAAATCTTGCCAAGATCCTATTGTAATCTTGCCATGATCTTGGAAGATCTTGTCAAGATCCCACCATGATCTTGCCATGATCCCACCATGATTCTTGCTAAGATCTTATCACAATCTTGCCAAGATTCTATCATAATCTTGCCATGATCTTGGACAACCTTGCCAAGATTCCACCATGATCTTGCCAAGATCTTGTCAAAATCTTGTCAATATCCTATCATGATCTTGCCATGATCTTGGAAGATCTTGTCAAGATCCCACGATGATCTTGCCAAGATCCCACCAAGGTCCTTGCTAAAATCGTAGCACAATCTTGCCAAGATTCTATCATAATCTTGCCATGATCTTGCACAATCTTGGCAAGATTCCACCATGATCTTACCAAGATCATATCAAAATCTTGTCAAGATCCTATTGTAATCTTGCCATGATCTTGGAGGATCTTGGCAAGACTCCACCATGATCTTACCAAGATCCTACCATGATCCTTTCTAAGATCTTATCACAATCTTATAATCTTGCCATGATCTTGGACAATCTTGCCAAGATTCCACCATGATCTTGCCAAGATCTTATCAAAAATCTTGCCAAGATCCTACCATAATGTTGCCATGGTCTTGAAAATCTTGCCAAGATCTCACCATGATCTTGCCAAGATCTCAGCATGATCTTGCCAATATCTTACCAAAATCTTGCCAAGATCTTATTGTAATCTTGCCATGATCTTGGAGGATCTTTTCAAGATCCCATCATGATCCTTGCCAAGATCTTATCACAATCTTGCCAAGATTCTATTATAATATTGCCATGGTCTTGGAAGATCTTGTCAAGATCTCACCATGATCCCAGCATGATCTTGCCAAGATCTTATCTATCTTGATCTTGGTCTTCACCATGATCATACCAAAAATGCCATGATTTTGAAAGATCCTTGTGAAAGGAGGCTTTTACGCGCACAGTTGCTCTCGCACCTTTGCGTGCCAGATCCAAATGACTGAAATGAGATCAATTAATCAATATCTGTAAATCTTGTTATCTGCACATTTTTCGCATATTTGTGGTAGACAACCGTTGGTAAAAGCCCCAAGGCCCGTTTTATAAGTCAAACATACAAGGTACACGGCAGTTTATACTTCTGTTCCTCGACTTTGTTGCTGCACTAAAGAAGAAAGGATAACTTGTCGAGCTGTCTTAAATAAAAAGTAAGTGCTTACAACCTATTTTGTAACACATTATTTGTATATTGAATGAATGAGCGCTAAGCAGTTTGATTACCACATGTAATAAATGTTTCAAGTTTTTTCAAATAACCTTACAAAAGACTAAGTTAATCGGCTAAAGCGATGCAATGCTTGCTGTAATTTCGACTTTAAATAATTTTAATAACACCTCATCATTGGTCGCAATAAGCTTTTACGTGATAATGCCTAGTTTAACGTTTTGTTAAGAATGACAAAGCCGTTGAGAATACCCCTGGGACCACAAATTATTATATTCACACAGTCTTATATTTATTACACAGCTTTTGCGCTACTGAAATGTCCTGATAACTGTAGTGATGACAGGTCCGGTGCGCAAACATCGTAAATGCACCGCATAGGAACACGCAATTTCACACTACGGTATAAATGTGAGCTTCATTAGTGAGTTAAGTTTCATTATGCCAACCAGTGAAGCTAGGATAAAATATAGAGATCTTTCTTATAAAATTAATGGTTTGAGCTATGATTATTCAACATGTGTATTATTCAAAATTTGTTATTTCAAATATTATTTAGGAAAACATGGTGAAGGCATCCCCAAATGATAAAGCTATGGCCAAAAAAGAAACTACAGAGATCGAGATTGTAAGTATGAGTGTATACATGTGTAATTTATCGTTTTTACTTAAAAAGAATTCAACTACAGTGATTTAATATCAAGTATTGTTAATTCATTTTAGTGGCACAATGACATTAATTTGATGACCGTAAATGCACCACCACAAGAGCCATCAAAATGTGCAATCAAATTATTGGACTTCCTATTTTCATCGGAAGAGCTCCAGGATGGAATACTATTCCAGTCGAAAAGATCTCCAAAACCAGCACTAGATCCCAACAGGGTCACTAAATTGTTTGGTAAGAATAATATATGTGATTTGACTTGAAGAAAAATTAACTGGCCAGCTGTGAACAGATATATACAAACTTAAGACTAAATTGCCACAGTATGTGCTAATTAAAAGTACTAGTTTTCTTTGCCAATGGCAATGTGTTTTGGGTAAACATTGAAATGAACTTGAATACAAAAAATAGACTTACTTTAACACAGTCTTTTTTTACGATATAGCTGTCCTCAACGCCAAGTACGGCGAAGAAAAAGTACAGAGAACAGTAAACACGCCAAATTATCGTGGATGCGTGCAATCAAAATTCAAAAGTGCCGCGATATGCGAAGAAAAACAAAATCGAAGGACTTGCAATAACAATGGTGTCAATTCTAATATAATTCATGAAGTAAAGTATGAAACAACCTCCGAATAAAAGTTCCATCTTGAAACTCAATTCTTTAGAACAACATTATTAAGAACAGACAAGATTCCCTTTGTTTTCTCAAATATTGAGCAAGGTGGAACTTTCATTCGGACTTTATTTCAATCGCCATAGATATTGATAATATTTTACCAACATTATTGGTCTAATTTACTACATCTACTATGCAAACTAAACCGGGTAAAAGCTTGAGTATTATAATTTGGATGAACTAATTGATTACAATTTAATAAAGACCGACACTGAATTTATGGCAATATTGTACACTTTTACGTTAGTTTGATAAATTCAATCAAAGTTATATCCAGAGTATAGTATATTTCATGTAGAGCCTCTTCATTCTGTATTTGCCATGTATTCTTGCCACGAACTTGGTAAAATCTTGTAGGGTCATGCCAAGATCTGGCTGGATTTTGGTAAGATATTGAAGGATCATGGCAAGATCTCGCAGGATTTTTGGTAAGATCTTGGAGGATCATGGCAAGATCTTGCTGAATTTCGGTAAGATCTTGGAGGATCATGGCAAGATCTCGCAGGATTTTTGGCAAGATCATGGCAAGATCTTGCTGGATTTTGGTAAGATCTTGGAGGATCATGGCAAGAACTTGCAGGATTTGTGGTAAGATCTTGGAGAATCATGGCAAGATCTTGCAGGATTTGTACCAAGATCATGCCAAGATGTTACATAAATCCTGCAAGATCATGGAAAGATCTTGCATGATCTTTCCAAGTTCTTGCAGGATCTTACCTAAGATTTTGCAGGATCTTTCCATGTTCTTGCAGGATCTTACCTAAGATATTGCCATTGTCATGGCAAGATCTTGCAGGATTTGTACCAAGATCATGCCAAGATCTTACATAAATTCTGCAAGATCATGGAAAGATCTTGCATGATCTTGCAAGATCTTTCCAAGTTCTTGCAGGATCTTACCTAAAATCTTGCAGGATGTTGC